TGTTTTCTCCACTTTGATGGTGGCTTCCATTTAAGTGTATGGTCGCGGGAGAAAGGCAATTTTTTTGAGTATGATATGGCCAAGAAAGCGAAAAACAGGGGTCCTCACTTTTTCTTCGCGCAAAAGCAAAATCGGCAGTAAAACGATGACCTCTTTACGGTCTTTCCTTTTCTCAGCGGTCTTTTGTTTTTTCTTTTCGATATTGGGTCACTTATTTTTAAACTCCCACGAAGATAGGGGTTTTTTCTTATCGCCAAACATACCTTGCTATGTGGAATGTACCTTCGAGCCAGCTTAAGACTCATCCATCATAATGCAAAGATAAAATTATTGACAAGGTGACAAAGCGTTTGAAGGATGTGGATTGAGTGAGATTGTCTAATTGAATTTGCACGAGCTTCACGTATTTGAACCACCCAGTTCAGTTTCTGTTTCGAAGTCGGTGCCCGAAAGAGTAAAATGGTTGAAGACTTGTTTGGGAAACATTATTTCTTTGATATGAAAAGCGTTTTTTGGTGTCACTTCTGATTACAACCCGCAATAAAAATCAGCGCAACCCAACTATTCTCAACTAGATGTTTCGTCGCGGGACATTACGTTCTGGGCTATCAGTCGCCAGTCTGATGGATTTATACTGCAGGAAACCCATGCAAAATTGTAGTGCCACTTTAGATCACCAAGTTAGGCAGATATTATTTCTACGCGCGTAAAATCGATATTTACAGTGTCGTTTGAATTGTACCTAACCTTGTGAAGTGAGACTGATTGAGTGCGGTGGATATCTCTCTTCAGAATCTTTTTTTCTTGCTTGAACTCTCTCTCTCTATAATTTTTTCCGCAAGAAATTAAAGCAGCCCTTATCATAAAGGCCGAAGTTGGCGAATATTTAAAACATCGGTTTTCTTCTTTTTTTTTTCAAAATCAGCGATATGGACAGTTCGAATCGTTAGTAGAACAACTCTTCAGATTTTTGCCTGCAGCACCCTTTTTTAGGTAGTTTGTGCCATAAAGTTGATTTGTTCCTGTTACGAGATGAAATTGCATGGCTATCCAGGATTAACTAAATGCTAAGCCGGTTTAACTGCAAGGTTATCCTGTAGTATCATGGTCAGATTTGAGAAGCTTCCAGGAAAAGAGTTCTCAAGTGCATCTGATTGAGACGTATGAGGCACACCCTTGGTTTGCCAGTCTCATAATGTGCACCCATCCATTCTTAATTTGCATGGCCTACATTTGTGAAAAAGTACAGCAGAATAAACCGTTTGGATCACGGTGAGCTTTGATTAGGTCATGAAAATTACTAAAAATAGTCGAATATAGAGCTGAGGAGCAGGGGCACCTAGTACAGGGTGATGTTTTGGATGAAATAACACCAACCAGCTTCTCTAGGTTTTGCAATCAATCGGTGCAAAATTCGCAACAAAAAAGTTGGGGTACACCTTGGTCCCCTTTAGGTCAGTGCCCACACTAATTACGCCTTCATTTGCCCCTATGATTATGAATAGGATTTGAATGTGAGGCGTAGAAAGGGTCGTTCAATGCCGAACGATCATTTTTCGTCTTAATCCAATGCTTCCATGGCTTCTCGAAAATTGATTTGCAGACCGCAGCGTTTTTAGTCGTCCTAGTCCGTCCGTCCTGGGCAAATTGGTGCCCTCATGGAAAGTCCCAGAAAGTTTTGAAGCAAAAGATGGAGGAGCGACGAAGATGGGGCTTACATAAAGGTTCTCCGGCTGAATTCAATATGAAGTTGCTGAAGTGATTTCATCGTTTATGGCATTGAACCGGGTTCAACTAGGAAATTTCCAAATTCTGAGCATTTTATGTGATTAGAGGCATTTTTTGAGAGTGACTTGTTGCTTATTCAGTATACTCCCTCAATATAGTCTGAAATCCATGCCAGTTCGCGGGGTACGCAGTAATACCGCTGATCGACTACGCCCGACGACGACGGGACCCCGTAGGCAGCATCTTGTAAATTAGTAAACACGTCGTGTGGCAGTAGTAGTAGATCTAATTTTTCTTTTTGGTTGGGCCAATTTTTAATTACTTTTCGATAATTCTAGCAAAATTACTGGCCCTGCTGAGCCAATGTCCAGACCCCAACCGGGCTTCATCGGTGGACCAGGTCCCGCAAGAGGAGAAGAGGTATTTGCTTGGGCATCGATGTCCGTCAGCTCAACAGTCATTGTATAGGCCAGGGTGCGCACTCAAATGCAAATGAAAAGAAGTCGAGAACGTATTGGCTTTTATGAATATCGGTTGATATTGGGTGCTCCGGCCCTGTTTTCAAAGAAGATCCCACTTTACCAAATTTTACCATCCCAGGACGTGATGTCCTGGAGCTGGAGGAAGTCCGAGAGCTCCTCGATTTATTTGATTTTATCTTAAAGCCTATAGCCGTTGAAGTCGATCGATATCGATTTGGCTGCACTGGAAGANTATTGGGTGCTCCGGCCCTGTTTTCAAAGAAGATCCCACTTTACCAAATTTTACCATCCTAGGACGTGATGTCCTGGAGCTGGAGAAAGTCCGATAGCTCCTCCATTTATTTGATTTTATCTTAAAGCCTATAGCCGTTGAAGTCGATCGATATCGATTTGGCTGCACTGGAAGAATTTTATTTGCAAATGAGCTGAGTGAAAACTGACATATGAACAGCGGGAATCGATCGTTTACAGCGGCGGCGTGGAGTTTTTCGCTCCCACAACGGCCTCTTTCTGGCTTGCTGGCCGGCTCCGCCTTCTCCCACTTTCCTATGCTGCCCGCACACACACACACCACCCTTCTGCATTGAATCGATGTACGGGTGTTTCATCGGTGAGCTCCGTGGTTCGACGCAGGTACGAACATTTCCAATGGTTTCTTATAGTAATGCATTTTGAAGCGTTTCTTCTATAAATGGTTGTTAAGTGAAATCACCCGTGTGGGTGTTTTGAGGCCATTCCCAGACTAGGTGCCTCCTAATCCCTAATAGAAGCCTTAGGGGCTCTTTGACATGAGATTCCTAAAATTTTATATTGTCTTGACATTAGGGGACCCGAAAATTTCCGAGGGACTGTTCTCGTATATTCCTCATGGAATTTTAAGGTCCCAAACCTTTTCGACTTTTCGGCCTAGAAGTAGTTGCAAGTTGTCAAGAGCAGGGAGTCGTTGCGGGACCCAAGGTATAACACGATGTTGGAAGGGTTAGATGGCAATTTCTGGCAATTCCGGTCGCTTAATCCCAGGTTTTTTTTCGAGGCTGCTCAATTTTCCTACCGTATCCATATGGTGAATTGTGGTCGTGCACAGATTTTACATTTTCGTGCCACTCCGTGCTATCAGGCCATGGGCTTTTACAACTGGAGCTTGGGTGCATGGATGCAGAATTTACAAAAAAAAAAACCCATGTGGCATGAGTCAAAATCAACAGAACAGGGATTCATGTAGTTTATTCAAACGAACAAGCGCACATCAGGCCCTGGCACCAATCATCACCAAAGGATGCGCCCTGGTTTCTGTCGCCCTGTTTGGATTGGGGAGCTGATTGAAATGCTGTTATGAATGATTGATTCTTTGCTCGAATCTTCCCTGGCTCCTAGTTGAATCCCTCGTTGGTAAGCATATTACCGCTGGAAACTTCAAGGTCTACTCATTAACTACCCACTTATTTGGTTTTATACAAACAAAATGCATCTGTAAGCTTCTGGATATTGAACTACCGTATTTTGTCATAATAGTTGCATTTCAAATGGTTATGTCCCATTAATATTAGGCTCAATTTGTTGCCGTTTTTGAATTCCAAAAAATGTCAATCACAGTAGCATTAATAGATGATTGGGTGGGTGTTCAGACCATATTAAAGGGGTGGGGAATGGGTTATGGATCTCAGTCCTTTCCGACAAAAGAAAATGGGGTATGGGTCTTTTTTATGAAAAACCTTGAATGCCGTAGGAGTTCCATCAAGTCCATGGTATGTTTGTTTTGAATTTGTTTGTATTGTTCCATTCACTGTTGGTTGTTTTTTTGAGAAGGATGGTGTAAAGAGACGAGGTTTCCCTACGTTACCAGCACAATAAGTGGGCATGACTGGTAGAGAAAAAGCAACCACCTGTTTGCCGGTTAGCTGTTTTTGTCTGGGTCATAGGACATGCACTTTGTAGAATGCCTCTGCTATTCTGAGCCGGCTAGGAACCCCGTTTTCGGGGAACTTATTAACTCCAATCTCCACATTTTGCTTGTTTTCTCTAAATTCTGCTTTTCATGGAGAGTGGAGCTTGGCTAATTCGATTCGGATTACGAAAAAGTTGTGCATGCGAAAATTCAGATGCCTGTGTGTCCTGATAGTGATGCCCGGGAATAGCCTCAAAGTAATCGTTAAGGATTGTTGGCCCTGAGCCCGACCCCACCAAAAGTATCTCAACCATGATACCATGACAGAAACCGTGGTGTCGCTTCCTAGTTGTGTTTTCTGGATCAAGCCATATTCCCCAATAAGCCAAGAGCATTTTCAACCCTCCGAGAAGTATAGCCTAGATGCTATACCGAAAAGAAAATCAAGGTTGAAGTATGGGAAAAACCAAATGAAACAGCTGAGCATATGCGGAATGAGGCAATCACGGGGGTTGAGGTTGGAGGGGAGGGGGTTGAGGGGTTTGTTGTTGGTGTTAGCGATGAGTTCGGGAGAACCTTCATTTTGTAAATGGAATTTCGCTAGTTGCTGATCTTCCGTCTCCGGAATAGTCATAGATTTTCCTTGTCAGCCCACATCCGCTTGGAAGTGACGTTCCCAAGGAAGGGTCCTTTTTTGGTTTTGGATGTATAGAGTCTTCGCAAGCATTCTTTTCTGCAATAACGCAACGAAACGACTTTCCCGAGTTCATTTCCAGTGGTCGTTCCCGAATCTAATTTTCTTTCGATCGAAATATATTTCTTGGTGGATTAGGATTGGCATTCGTGTCAAGATTCAATTATTTGAAAGCACAAAAATTTTTGGTCATCCCCAAGCCAATCAACCCATGGTATTTGAGGCTTCGTTTGCTGCATCATCTCAGGAACGGTTGATCGGTCCCGAAACGATCTCCGGAGACGGTTGTGACAGCACGCCTTTTGGCATTATTCAATCTTTGTCCTATGCAGTTAGGGAGATACGTCTGCGTGAGATGGTTTCAAGTTCAGCGCCATATACGAGCCATTATCTCCATAAGATAAGGATCCTTAGAGCGAATCCCTGAGGCTTTCCTTACTGGAATCGATGGTTTTGTGTTACTTGCTTCATTTGCATCCATTTGCTTTCTATACGGAGGGGCCCCTATCTCTGCTCCAATGAGTTACTTGGGGGTCTTATAATTCTCGGAAGGCATCGTAAAAGTACATTCACGTTAGTGAGAACTTCCTATGGAATGGCTCATCTTCAATGAGTCGTCCCCAAATTGATTAGTAGGAAAATAACCATTAGAAGTTTACACTGGTGGAAATCATACTCCTCTTAGACCGGAGATCAAAGCTGTATCCTCTCGCGTAAAACGCTGACTACTGTATCGGTTAGAACGGCGTTTCTGCCAAACATGGGCCTCGTCATTTTTCAGTGATAAGTTTTCGCTTGAAGTGATAAGAATAAATCGCTGACGTTCAACGGCCTATTATGGCTCTTTACATCTTCACCATACAATTATGTCACCTATTCGTTTGATATTAATCGATGAGTCAATTTTCAGATCATTACCATGCCCTGGCGCGATGTCTGGAATTGGCATGGCGTGCTGGCCATGTTGATCAAGCGGACAAATACCTGAGAAAAGCTATCGAAAACAATCCAAGGGCACCTGTTGACGCTGGATATAATTACTGTAAAGGACTGCACGAATGGTAAGTAAATTCACTTATCTGAGCTTAGTTCTTTATGAATACATGTGGGCAATTCTGTGGAGGTTAATGGGTCGAAAATGCCCAAATTTAAAAAAAAAAAAGATGGGCCCAACCCTGCGTCTATAATTCCGTGCTCATCGTAAGCCCATATCCCGCTCGGCCCCCTTCATTCAGGGGCTTCAGAGGTAGATTGCTACAGGTACTACTTTGTCAGGCCCCCTTGAGTGGCGCCTATGGACCTCGCTTCCAATACTACTGTTATGTACTATTAAGTTTATTTGACGAAATTCCTGGAAATCTGATTTTTCCTTCTAGGGGTTTCACCACCTGATATTTCCTGTTTAAAAAATTCTATATGCGGTCATATAATCTCATCTAGGAGAAAAAGTGCGAGTAAAGGGAAGAATGACGAGGGCAGTAGCCATACTTGGCGAAATAATCGACAGAGCGACAGGGTCGGACATGAGATAGTGTTCATGTCGGAGAGGCAAGAGAGTGAAAAGAACGTTCTCGATGTTACACTTATGACTCACTCCGCCCTTTATACTTTGTGACTTTGTCCCCACTCCCCCATTGTATTGCTTTCTGCTCCTGACTTTACGACTTCGTGATTGCCCATTCACCGAATTGTAAGTGTGCGCTGCATTTGGCATCACGCAGTCTCCGCAGCGGCCACTCCTTGGCCTGAATGGGAGCCCTTTGTGACATGCTCGTTCCACATGACTTCATTTTAGGTAATTTATGTTACTTTTGTTCTTTCAATGAAGTTATTGTCAAGTAACTGTAGAAATTCTCATTTATTATCAAGTCCTTAGTAGGACCATTCTGTCATTTCCAGGTACTCGGGTGAGCCGAACGCCGCATTACAGGCGTTCAACCGGGCTCGTCGAGATTTGGAATGGGGTGAACGTGCGCTATACAATATGATAGAAATCGTTTTGAATCCGGACAATGAGATAATTGGCGGTGAAGTGCTCGACCGTGCTGATGACAGGTACTAGTCATCGAATTATGCAGTGAACTTTCCAGTTTTCTTTCTTTTGTTATCGATTTTCGATTCTTACATAAAAAGGTCAGACTATACCCGATTGGCTTGCGTGCCGCGGGAAACCAACGGCGATCGTTTTTAGGCGATGCTCAATTTTTTTCCAAAAAATCAAGCATATTTCGTATAGTTCAGAACTAGGCCTCAACGCCGAGTTCCCAGTTGGATACTGCTAAGTAATTTGATCAAATTGTTCTGGGTGTTACTGTTACGGGTTGATTCGAGGCATAGGTAGCCTACTTCAGTATTGACTCACTGGATTGGCAATAATGCCTTGTGGTAAGCAAAGCGTAAACTTGAGGAACCTGGTACGACCTTTGTCGTTTGCACGCACTTTTTGTGTACTTCACCTTTTATCCGACCGATTCACTGACGATGATTTCCGGTTGTGCCCTTCGTTCGTTCAGGGTCTTTTTAGGGTACTTCTGCTAGACTTTTGCTATCCACATCGTCAACTTGGGCCGTTGTTCCCAATTTGCCTTTTTCCCGATTTTAGCCCCACCATAGCGTTGTTATAAAGTAATTTGAAAGGGTTCCCGAAAATATAATGTGGTCCCTTTAATCCATTGAAGTCATCGTTACCAAAAGTCGGTTTCCATTATCCAAAAAAGGTTAGGGTGTCACCAAACTTCATTTTGAAGACGGCATGTTGGGATCGTCTATTCGTCTTCTGTATTGGTACTCTTTCTGAAGTATTTTCTACATTTGTACGAAAAGTAAATATTAAACTCATAAATTACAGTAAACACAAAGAAACTAGTCAGTATACTTGACTCTTCCAATTTCTCTCTTCACTTATATGAAAACTCTTTACAGAGGCGATGAAGCCGATCGAGAAATGGCTGCTAAAACGGCGGAACGTTTTCTCAAGGTCGGTTGTTTACTTAGAATTTGCTCCTTAGTAATTTTTTTGTCTATCTTTATTTTGATGATCCTTCCATAGAGGCAAACGAAAGTTTTTTTGGGGAGACATGAATGATACGCTGCAGATCAGTTACGCAAGGTTTTTTGAATAACATTCAGCTGTTTTCAGGAGGTGACATTCAAGAACAACAATTCAAAGTATGTTCTTATGGAAAACTCGATACTGGTTGCCAGTGGTGTTCGTAGTAATGTACAAAAAGCTCTCGATCGATTATTGCCGATTGTTGGAAATGAGGGGGTGAGTCTTTTCTAACCTCATTGCCGTAATTTACGTACTTCGAGTACATTACACCTTCATTGAACACTGACAGATAAAAGCTTATTTAAGACTTGTCTTTCTTTCTTACAATTTTCGATTTAAGAATGGAAAGTATGCTATGCCTATTGATAAGAAGTAAACAGTAGAGTTAGACACGAATTCTGAATGAAATTTGAAAATAGTTGATTTTTTGCTGTCCTTACTACGTTTCGGTTGTCTTGGGCCAATAACCCTATATTGTCATTAGTCGAGAGTTCTTATTGAACGCCAGTTTGATGACATTTCGCCAGTGTAAAGGATAAACATGGGGGGAGCCTGATTCCTATCCAAAGCCCCAGAACTGTCCATGACTAACTCACCTTATGAGATTTTCATTAAAACTGTTCAATTCGATTTGTTCAAAATATTAAGTCCAAGTTTACTTCAAATATTGTCTGATTTGCGGGTTTCTCTCCGTTGGAGGTAGACTGATTTCTGAAGGGAACGACTTTTCAAAATCATCGTTTGAAGATTGCGAATATTGCAAAACTGCTTTTAGTTTCGAAGATTCGTCTAAAGTGTACAGCCACTGCTTTTTCACGTGGTCCTCCTAGGTTGACCCTCTGTTTTTTTTTTTTTTTTGGTTTGGGAGCGTTAACGGGAAGTAAACATTCTTCTTGGCTTTATGATACCCTTGCAGTGACCATAGCCTACGATAACCTACGATCAGCATAGCTTTCGGAGCTCAGCTAGTTCATTCCTGGCTGGGGCACGATTTCTTAAAACTGGTTTCAAAATTCTGATAAAGCTCGAAATAGCGGCTAATTTCTGGGTACTTCTCCATCATTCTCAGTATTTCTATATTGTACAAGTGAACGTGCAAGAAGTGCTCCTTCTGATGGCTCATAATTTACATTACCAGCTGTGTGGTGCCGGGTGGCACCCCTCACAACACAGCTGCCATTATACAATGAGGGCAAAAACTAAGTCATCAAGCAAGTTAATGAGTATACGAAAAAGATCATTAAAATCAAAATCAAAAGCAAAAAAATACGGTTATAACATTGCTGTACCGAAAACGTTCCATTTAAGGAAAAGGTGTCAAGCGTGGGTGCTGTATTGGTGGTGGCCCGAGCGTATATGCTAATGAAGCAAACTCCAAAGGCCAAGGCCGTCCTCAAACGTGTGGTTGGCCATCCATGGTCTCTAGAAGATGCCGATTACCTGGAGAAATGTGAGTTCCTCAAATATTCAGTGTATTATTATTTCTAATCTTCGTCTCTTTTCTGTCTGTACTCATTCCTCCTTATCCCATCCCACCGATTCCATCCACTCGGTGCTTGCTATGACACTTCTGCGAGAAGGGAACTCAGTGCCTCCCTTTCGTCGAGTGTCATGGCCTGGATCGTTGTGGCANATGGCCTGGATCGTTGTGGCACTATGGGCCCATCTTTTGTCTTCGGCGCGAATGTTCCGCCGATATGGACAGCCATTTTTTCCTCCGAACCCCCTCCTTTTTTGTAATATTCTAGTTGTTGTCCTCACGTAATGCTGTTTTATCTTTATTTCTAAGTATTTTTAATTGAAGAGAGTTTTTTCCGACACCTTCTGACTGCATCTGTGAATATTTGAGTGTTCTAGGTTGGTTACTACTGGCTGACCTATATATCAATCAGAACAAATCCGAACAGGCGACTACCGTATTGCGTACAGTACTACAGCATAATGCGGTTTGTTTCGGTTCTCGTTTGCTGTCATGCATAAGCGCCCTACAGCCGAATCGTTAAACCGTCATGCCCCATCTGGTCAGATTATGAGCTGCACGAATGCATCAGGGGGACATGAGCATTGAGAGCAGAACCATCCTTCATTGGTATCCAGCTGTGCGCCTACGGCCTACGAATAAGTTACTTGGTAGAAGGATGTAGCCCTTCTTACTGCCTTCCTAGCAAGAATAAAGCAGTCTTGTCACCTCTGCCTGTGTTTGTATGGGTTAACCCAAGAGATGAACTTGAGTTACCCTTAATAGTCATGAGAAAATGGCACGACTGAAATGTTTGCTCCCATCTTTTGTGTCAAAACGGCGCTGCGCCGGTCCCGCTGCTGTCTTCGCGAGAAGGTCTTTCATCTCAAATGCCAGCTCATATGGGGGGGGGGGGGGGGGG